ACTCCATTTTCCACCTCTCAGCCCAGCTCTGCAGCTTATCTATGTCCCTCTGTAACCTACAACATCCTTCCGCACTATCCACAACTCCACCGACTTTGGTGTCATCCGCAAATTTACTAACCCATCCTTCTACGCCCTCATCCAGGTCATTTATAAAAATGACAAACAGCAGTGGCCCCAAAACAGATCCTTGAGGTACACCACTAGTAACTGAACTCCAGGATGAACATTTCCCATCAACCACCACCCTCTGTCTTCTTACAGCTAGCCAATTTCTGATCCAAACCGCTAAATCACCCTCAATCCCATGCCTCCGTATTTTCTGCAATAGCCTACCATGGGGAACCTTATCAAACGCTTTACTGAAATCCAAATACACCACATCAACCGCTTTACCCTCATCCACCTGTTTGGTCACCTTCTCAAAGAACTCAATAAGGTTTGTGAGGCACGACCTACCCTTCACAAAACCGTGTTGACTATCCCTAATCAAATTATTCCTTTCTAGATGATTATAAATCCTATCTCTTTTAATCCTTTCCAACACTTTACCCACAACCGAAGTAAGGCTCACTGGTCTATAATTACCAGGGTTGTCTCTACTCCCCTTCTTGAACAAGGGGACAACATTTGCTAGTCTCCAGTCTTCTGGCACTATTCCTGAAGACAATGACGACATAAAGATCAAAGCCAAAGGCTCTGCAATCTCCTCTCTAGCTTCCCAGAGAATCCTAGGATAAATCCCATCCGGCCCAGGGGACTTATCTATTTTCACACCTTCCAGAATTGCTAACACCTCCTCCTTATGAACCTCAATCCCATCTAGTCTAATAGTCTGTATCTCAGTATTCTCCTCGACTACATTGTCTTTTTCCTGTGTGAATACTGACGAAAAATATTCATTTAGCACCTCTCCTATCTCTTTGGACTCCACGCACAACTTCCCACTACTGTCCTTGACCGGCCCCAATCTTACTCTAGTCATTCTTTTATTCCTGACATACCTACAGAAAGCTTTAGGGTTTTCCTTGATCCTACCTGCTAAAGACTTCTCATGTCCCCTCCTGGCTCTTCTTAGCTCTCTCTTTAGGTCCTTCCTGGCTAACTTGTAACTCTCAAGCGCCCTCACTGAGCCTTCACGCCTCATCTCTACATAAGCCTCCTTCTTCCTCTTGACAAGAGATTCAACTTCTTTAGTAAATCACGGTTCCCTCGCTCGACCACTTCCTCCCTGCCTGACAGGTACATTCTTCTCAAGGACACGCAGTAGCTGTTCCTTGAACAAGCTCCACATTTCAATTGTGCCCAGCCCCTGCAATTTCCTTCTCCATCCTATGCATCCTAAATCTTGCCTCATCGCCTCATAATTGCCTTTCCCCCAGCTATAACTCTTGCCCTGCGGTATATACCTATCCCTTTCCATCGCTAAAGTAAACGTAACCGAATTGTGGTCACTATCACCAAAGTGCTCTCCTACCTCCAAATCTAACACCTGGCCTGGTTCATTACACAGTACCAAATCCAATGTGGCCTTGCCTCTTGTTGGCCTATTTACATACTGTGTCAGGAAACCCTCCTGCACACATTGGACAAAAACTGACCCATCTGAAGTACTCGAACTATAGCGTTTCCAGTCAATATTTGGAAAGTTAAAGTCCCCCATAACAACTACCCTGTTACTTTCGCTCCTATCCAGAATCATCTTTGCAATCTTTTCCTCTACATCTCTGGAACTTTTCGGAGGCCTATAGAAAACTCCCAACAGGGTGACCTCTCCTTTCCTGGTTCTAACCTCAGCCCATACTACCTCAGTAGACGAGTTGTCATCAAATGTCCTTTCTGCCACCGTAATACTGTCCTTGACTAACAATGCCACACCTCCCCGTCTTTTACCACCTTCCCTGATCTTACTGAAACATCTAAACCCCGGAACCTGCAACAACCATTCCTGTCCCTGCTCTATCCATGTCTCCGAAATGGCCACAACATCGAAGTCCCAGGTACCAACCCATGCTGCAAGTTCACCCACCTTATTCCGGATGCTCCTGGCATTGAAGTAGACACACTTCAAACCACTTTCCTGCCTGCCGGTACACTCCTGCGACCTTGAAACCTTATTTATGACCTCACTACTCTCAACCTCCTGTACACTGGAGCTACAATTCAGGTTCCCACCCCGCTGTTGAATTAGTTTAAACCCTCCCGAAGAGCATTAGCAAATTTCCCCCCCAGGATATTGGTACCCCTCTGGTTCAGGTGTAGACCATCCCGTTTGTAGAGGTCCCACCTACCCCAGAATGAGCCCCAATTATCCAGGTATCTGAATCACTCCCTCCTGCACCATCCCTGTAGCCACGTGTTCAACTGCTCCCTCTCCCTATTCCTCGCCTCGCTAGCACGTGGCACGGGTAACAAACCAGAGATAACAACTCTGTTTGTTCTAGCTCCTTGAATTTCCACCCTAGCTCCTTGAATTTCTGCCTTACGTCGCCATCCCTTTTCCTACCTATGTCATTGGTGCCTATGTGGACCACGACTTGGGGCTGCTCCCCCTCCCCCTTAAGGATCCCGAAAACATGATCCGAGACATCACGGACCCTGGCACCTGGGAGGCAACACACCAACCGCGAGTCTCTCTCGTTCCCACAGAATCTCCTATCTGTCCCCCTAACTATGGAGTCCCCAATGACTAATGCTGTCCTCCTCTCCCCCCTTCCCTTCTGAGCAACAGGGACAGAGTCCGTGCCAGAGACCTGTACCCCATGGCTTACCCCTGGTAAGTCGTCCCCCCAACAGTATCCAAAACGGTATACTTGTTTTTGAGGGGACTGGCCACAGGGGATCCCTGCACTGTCTGCCTGTTCCCTTTCCGTCCCCTGACTGTAACCCATCTACTTTTTTCCTGTACCTGAGGTGTAACTACCTCCCCGTAACTCCTCTCAATTACCCCCTCAGCCTCCCGAATGATCCGAAGTTCATCCAGCTCCAGCTCCAGTTCCCTAACACGGTTTCTGAGGAGCTGGAGTTGGGTGCACTTTCCGCAGATGAAGTCAGTGGGGACACTAATGGTGACCCATACCTCCCACATTCTACAGGAGGAGCATACAACTGCCCTAACATCCATTCCCACTGTTCCGAATTCCCAAACAGACAAATTAAAAAAAAATACTAGTAGCCTTACCAAATCAGCTCTCAGAACCTTTTTTTTTGGTTAGAGGAGGAGGATGGATGGGAGACACTACCTAGGTAGTGTTTCGGGTAAAGCAACCGCCCAAATATATTACCTCACTTACTCCAAAAATGGAGTCACGCAAGGTAAGACTTTTATAACCGAAAAGCTCACCTTCCCAGGCTGCCCTCGAGCTTCCTCCCGGACTCCCGCCGCTGAAACAACTTTGTAAACAACATCTTTGTAAATCTTTTCTGAACCTTTTCAAGCTTCACAACATCCTTCCTGTGGCAGGGAGACCTGAACAGCATTCAGTATTCCAAAATTAGCCTAACCAATGTCCTGTACAGCTGCAACATGACCTCCCAACTCCTATCGTCAATGCACTGACCAATAAAGACAAGCGTACCAAACGTCTTCTTCACTACCCTGTCTCCCTGCAACTCAACTTTCAAGGAACTATGAACCTGTACTCCAAGGCCTCTTTGTTCAGCAACACTCTGCAGGACCTTACCATTAAGTGTATAATTCCTGCCCTGATTTGCCTTTCCAAAATGCAGCACCTCACATTTATCTAAATTAAACTCCATCTGCCACTCCTCGGCCCGTTGGCCCATCAGGTCAAAGTCCCATTGTACTCTGAGATGTTCACTACACCTCTAATTTTAGTCTCAATTTGATTTTTCCAATTGACATGAAAAATAAGTCACCCATGATTAATAAACTGCCTTTCTTTAACATGCCCTTATGATTTATTCTCTTTTTACAGTATAGCTATTGTTAGAGGACCTATAGACTAATTCCAATAATATATTCTTCCCCTGGTTATTTCTTACCTCCACCCAAATGGATTTTACATTTTTAAATCCAAGATTATTTCTTCCTATTGCACTTATCCCGACTTGTGCTCACAATGCTACCCCACTGCCCTTTCCTTCCTCCCTGTTCTTTCAAAAAAAATGCTACATACCAATCAGAATTCCCTGACTCTGGCACGAAGCAGGTGACTCAGCCTTTGGGAGTCATGCTCAGGTTGCAGAGAACAGTGTCGATCCCCCTAACTGTACTGCCCCCTACCCACTAGCCCTGGCACTGCTCTTTGGAGGATCAGTGCAGACTCAATGGGCTGAATGGCCTCTTTATACACTGTAGGGATTCAATGATTCTACCAGTACATTCCTATTCCCTCCCTTGACTTGAATATCTCCATGTACCTCAGCGCCATGGTCAGTTCTTCCATTCTCCCTGCAAATCCTGCTCTTCGCCACACAGCTTGCAAGAACTTTGTGACTGTTGGGTGTTTAGCTGTTAGCTGGATAAATTGTTTACAATGCAGAGTTGATACCAAAAGTGTATGTTCAATTCCTGTACTAGCTGAGGTCACCATGAAGTGCTCTCCTTTTCTATCTGCCCCTCACTTGAGGCATGGTGATCCTCAAGTTAAACTCGCCACCAGTTATCGCTCTCTAATGAGCAAGTGGGCCTCTAGTGACTTTATCTTATATGCTTCCAGTGCAAAAAGTCTGTCTGAGTCTTAATGAGGATCCAGCCTCAGCTGGTTCTTTATTAAATAGCTCTTTCACTAGAATCCTTGTTGGGGCTGGGAGGGAATCCAGCTAAAGGTTGGCAACTATTAAATTTAAACTGTGAGTTTCAGTTTAAAGTCAACTAAAAACCCAATTAGGCTAAATGCGATTTTGCAAAATAAAGATTTAGATTTTCGTTACACAACTGAGATGCATTAAAAGACAAAATATATATTTGTGGTGATAACATAATCTTGATCAGTGCTATACTTGGTGATGTAGAAATGCGGATGTATTTTTTTCAGATACAAGGTTTAAACTTCACACAGATTAGTTCAATCCCAGATTCATCAGAAGTAGAAAGTGAGCTTCAAGAAGCAAAGGAAAAAGTACGAACACTAGAGAAGGAGGTAAATCATTTCAGATAATGTTAAAATGGATGATCTAAGCACAAAATTAATTCTCAACAGTTTTAAGTGACACTTAACTCATGTCCTGATTCCTCAGTGCTTATCCACCATCTACAAGGCACAATTGAGGAGCGTGATGGAACACTTGGATGAGTTCTCCACCAATATCTAAGAAGCTTGACACCATTAAGAACATTAATTGGTTTCCTATCTATCGCCACAGTCATTCACTCCGTACATCATCAATGCACAGTTGAGTGTGAAAAACTTGTTCAGAAACAAATATGCAAAAAAAAAAGCAAAACTTAAGCATATGTAATTATAAAGGAATGAGAACCATATTGGCTGAAGTGGATTTTAAAGAAGTTGAGCAGAAAAGATGTTTGAGGAACAATAGCAGACATTTAAGAAAGCAATTTATGACTTGCAACTGAGATATATCCCAGTGAGGAAGGAGGATTCTAGGAAGGACTGGATTGACACAAAACATTCTTGGCAGTATAGATGCCAAGAGGTTGTTTCACCTTGTGGGAAACTCTAAGATCAGAGGGCATAATCTCACCTATAACATGCACTGCATCATCTCTGCAAGGCTCCTTCCATAGCACCTTCCAAACATGTGACTTCCATCACTTTAAAGGACAAGGACAGAAAATGTCAGGGAACACCACACCTCCTAGGTTCCCTTTCAAGCCATCCACCATCCTGACTTGGAGCTATGTAACCATTCCTTCATTGCTGCTGGGTCAAAATCCTGGAACTCCCTTCTAACCGTACTGTGGGAATACCTGCTGCACTTGGACTGGTGTGGTCAAGAAGATAGTTAGCCCCTAAGTTTTCAAGAGGAATAAATTCTGCCCTAGGCAATGATGTATGTTTCCTATTAACAAATACATTTAAAAATATATCAAAACAGGATAAAAGCTGGAGAAACCTTAGCAGTTTGGCAGCATCTATGGAGAGAGAAAGCAGAGTTAACGTTTCAGGTCCAATGAGCCTTCTTCAGACCAGTTGAGTTTCTCCAGCAATTTCTGTTTTTGGTTCAGATTCCCAGCATCCACAGTTCTTTGGTTTTTGTGTAAAAATAGCAGCTCATCACAGAATAATAGAAACCAACATTTAAAATGAGACAGAGATTGCATTTCGGTTTATATAACAAAAGTGTCAGGCTAAACCTACATTGAGTAGTAATACTAATCCATGTTGAATTAATTTTGCCTTTATTTCATGCAGTCAGTTTCACATGGGTGGATGAAAGAGAACAAATTCTCTTTTAATGCCAAATGTACAATGTGAACATATGCTCCTGAGTATTACTGTGATTCACAGCATCTTTTCATTGTGCATACCAGGGCAGTGGGAGTTTGTGCTTACCCTGAGTAATCCAGAGGCCTGAACTAATTCTCTGGATGCGAGAGCACAGATTCTTCCATGTTAGCTGAGGAAGTAAAGTTCAGTTATTGTGTGGCATCAATAGGTTCCATTACTCGAGCTACCAAAACAAAATTGAGAATGTAAAGGAAAATATGATCCTGGAAGAGTTCAGAAATAGCATTCCAGCAAACTTATAAACTTATTTAGAAGAAGATTAAATAATCAAGATCAAATAAGTGGCAGTTCTAGTAGATATCTATAAGACCATAAGATGTAGGAGCAGAAATTAGGCCATTCAGCCCATCGTGTTTGCTCCACCATTCAATCAGGGCTGATAAGTTTCTCAACCCCATTCTCCCACTTTCTCTCTGTAACATTTGATTGCTTTGACAATTAAGAGCCTATCTATCTCTGTCTTAAATATACTCAATGATCTGGCCTCCGTAGCCTTCTGTGGCAGTGAATTCCATAGATTCACCGCCCTCTGGCTGAAGAAGTTTCTCCTCATCTCCGTTCTAAAGGGTCTTCCCTTTACTCTAGGACTGTGCCCTCGGGTCCTAGTCTCTCCTATCAATGGAAACGTCTTCCCAATGTCCACGCTATCTAGGCCTTTCAGTATTCTGTAATTTTCATTTAGATCTCCCCTCATCCTTCTAAACTCCATCGAATATAGACACAGAGTCCTCAAACATCCCTCATATGTTAAGCCTTTCAGTCCTGGGATCATTCTCGTCAACCTCCTCTGGACTCACTCCAGGGCGAGTACGTCCTTCCTGAGGTATGGTGCCTAAAATTGCTCACAATATTCTTAATGTGGTCTGACCAGAGCCTTATAAAGCCTCAGATGTTAACTCTTGAAATAAATGCCAACGTTGTATTTGCTTTCCAACAACTGACTAACCTGCAAGTTTACCTTAAGAGAATCTTGGACTAGGACTCCCAAGACCCTTTGCACTTCAGATTTCTGAATTTTCTCCCCATTTAGAAAATAGTCCATGCTTTTATTCTTCTTACCAAAGTGCATGACCTCACACTTTCCCACATTGTACTCCATCTGCCACTTCTTTGCCCACTCTCTTAACCTGTCTAAATCCTTCTGCAGCCTTCCTGCCCCCTCAATACTACCTGTCCCTCCACCTATGGTATTGCACACAGACATAAGCAGGGAAATGGTCTTCTGGAAATCATAGAACTCCTACAGTGTGGGAGCAGGCTATTCAGTCCACCAAGTTCACACTAAGCATTCGAACAGCATTCTACCCAGATCCACCCCCTACCCCACCCCTGTAACCCTGCATTTTCCATGGCTAATCCACCTAGCCTGCACTCCCTGGATACAATGGGCAATTTAGCATGACCAACTTTGTACATCTATGGACTGTGGGAGGAAACCAGAGCACTTAGAGGAAACCTACACAGACACGGGGAGAACATGCAAACTCCACACAGTTGTCTGAGGGTGGAATCAAACATGGGTCCCTGGCACTGTGAGGCAACAGTGCTAACTACTGAGCCACCGTGCTGCCCACAAGGAAATTGGAGGAATACAAAATCTGTGGATGGAAGAAGTACTAGTTTTATAGAACAGACTGAAATATATAAAGGAGAAAGTCTGGAATGAAAAATGATATAAAGAAGTTAACATGCTTCCATTGTAACAAGACTGGACATTCCAAAGTTAATTGTTGGAAGTTAAATGGAAAACCGATTGCAGTAACAGGAATGTCTAAGCAACCCTCAGAAAAGGGGGCATCAGAAAAGAAAATATATATTAAAACTATAGCTGTAATACCAGGAGAACACATTTCCATGGAATGCACAAAGAAGGGAGTGATGGCTTATGAAGGTTCCTTTCTGAATATGGCCAAGGAAAATCGGATGGCTGGAGGTCATTGCATATATTCAAGGAAAAATTAAATTGATTTTCGGTCAACAAGAGAGGCAAGAGTTGTGGGGAAAAGACAGAAAAATGGAGTTGAGACCTAAAAGTGGATCAGCCATGATCTAATTGAATGACGGAACAGGCTCAAAGACTATATGGTCTAATCCTGCTCCTAATTCTTTTGTTGTCCAAACTGAGATCAATACCAGGAATTCACTTTTAGAATGATCTGTTTCACTTTGTGTTAAAGATGCATACAAAGTACAGCAAAAAGTGCACAAAGTCACCATTTACTGGCGCCCACTTGGTTACAAAAACCAGAATTGAAAGATTTTAACAAAGCCAAAGGTAAGCAAGAGAAAAAAAAGACCAGATCTCAGAGTCCCAAGTCCCACTTATGAAGTTTACGAGGTGAATTCACATCAGCTATGTGTCTATGAAGATGTGGCCATTTTGTGGAGTTCTGAGATTTATGAAACACTTTTCACCACTCCCCACAGCACTGCATAGACACTGAAATACTTTTGAAGCTTTGTTACTCCTATAATGCAGGGGATCCTTAACTTACTAACCCTAATACTTAAAACAGTTGTACTAATAGGATGCACCAACCAAACCAGATTTTACCATATTTGGCGGTTCCTTTTCACATATCAGGATAAAAATGAACATTTTTGTTAGATTTGCAGCCTAAATTACACTGAATTGCTTGTACCATCTGTTTCATTGACTGCTGGATGTTAGCCTGCCATATGCACAATGGTAAGTCATGGTATTTGACTTATTCTCCTGCTTCTGCTTTGTTTTTATCATTGTGTATTAAAGCTTTTAAGTTTCCCCTGAAGTTTCTGATATCTTCTACCTGTTTTATGTCTTCCTTTCTGATGCTCCTTTCTTTTATCTTAAAAATGTTCATTGTCATTTGTCTTTCATTTTCTTGAATTGTTTCCATTGACAGAGCCAGTCAGTTTCTTTTTTATTATTTGTTCACTCGTGGGACATGCACATAACTGGCATTTATTGCCCATCCCTAGTTGCCCTTGAGAAGGTGATTGTGAACTGCCTTCTTGAACTGCTGCAGTGCTATAGATGGACCCACAATGCCCATAGGGAGAAAATCATTAGGAATAAAATTATTCCTCATAAAAGGAAAGTTGAGACTAGCTATTTTACCTCTTGAATTTAGAATTTTCAATTGTTCTCAGAATCATGTTGTTTATGAGAAGTTATTATCTGATCAACTAGTTCCCTTCTTTCTTATAAATCTCCGGAGAAATCTGAACACTGTATTTGTCTAATTGTTACTCCAAATACAGTGACCTACAGATTTATTTACATTTTTTTTGTAGGGAACTTAGAGAACTTTTACATCAACACCCAAACTTTATTTATATCATGGCCTTCGAAGCCATAAATTTTGGATTCTGCTAAAGCTTCCAGTCCCAGCAGCCCTAAACAAAATCTTTTGAACAGACGAAAATAGAAGTGTTTCGAATCTGAAAGAACATTGCACTCCTAAATCTGGAACGTATCAAATGCCACTCTGTCACTCATCACCCCTCCTACCAAATACTTTCCTTGCCAAATATCAAGATAGCTTTTTGAACTTGTTGACAAAATCTCAGACTTCACATAGTATTGTAGAAATATTGCAGCACAGTAGGAGGTTATTTGATCTGCTGTATCTGAGCTATCTCTCTGGAAGAATAATGACCAATTTTCCATTTTTTTTCCTGAAGCTATG